TATATATATATATATATATATATATATATATAAATGTCAATATTTGTTTGTTCAAAACTGCTAATATCTGAATGTTTGGCGAAAAATATAATGGTACATTTAAAATTTCATTTTTACTCTTTTCGGCGAGATTTGAATTTGAAAATCATTGAAGGAACGGAGTGGAAAATGATGAAACTTGTACATTTTATAACACTTTTTAATAAGGGCATATGGAACAAATTTAGTGACTGAGACTTAAATAGAGTCGAGAGTTATATTGCTATATGTGAGAGTTATATCAAATATGTCTGGAAATTGCATTATTTAAACAATAAATCACCATATGAAATAGAGGATCCAAATTAAATTTCATTTAATCATTACATCAATCCTATGGAAGGTATATATGTTTTCGCTGGATTGACAGCTACTATCACATCAACTGATGAATGTAACTGCCTCAACAGTAAACTGTCAACTTAACACCTATATTTGTGATTGGGAAGAAACACTGTTTTAAAAATCATTGATATGGATGTGTAATATTTACTTCTAAACTAAAACTCGATTCTATTCAGCTTTTTTATGTATTGAATTTTTTAATAATGAATAAAATCTATTTATGCTATAATACATTTATAGATTCTATTTAAATTTATACTTAGAGGTAAATAGTTTTTATTATGTATAAAATAATTTAATAACAAATAAACTTTGAAAAGAAACAATTTCAGGTTTAGAAATAAACATCAATACACATATCAAAAGATTTTTACGCTATAACTACTAGAACCAGTTGAGTCTCAATGATCAAATTCATATTACACATTTCTATCATTAAGAGGTATAAATTGTATGAATTTTCACTGAATATAATTTTTCACCTAGTTCCTTTTGGGATATATAACATCAAAAATCGACGAAAACGACTTTTAAGTGTTTTTGAAAATTCATATTTAAAAAAGGACAAGGTTTTCAAGATTGAAATTTCATCAGCAAGAAGTAAAGTGGCAGGACTACATATGAAGAAAAAAAGTAAAGTTGACTTTTTTTATTACACTTTTGCAACCCTAAAACCCACTTTTTTTTTGTTGTCTATTTTCAATATTTTTTAAACCACTTTCTTTCTTTTTAGTTGATGTATTGATTAGACCTGGGCACTCTTGAAATAATTTATTTCTGAAATAATTCACATGGTTATTCCACGAATGAATTATTTCGGGAATAACGGTTATTTCTGAAATAATATTTCAAACAGTCAACGAAATAATCTCGATGGAATAACTCTGAATTTATTTCTGAAATAATTATTTCACTATTTTAACATTCTTTGGAATAATGTAAATTATTTCGAAATGAGTTATTTCTGAAATAAATTATTTCATAACTATTATTTCAGGATTATTTATTTCATAAATAAATTATTGCATAAAATCAAGAAATAAATATTTCAGAAATAACGTTGTTCTGAAATAACATAAAAAAATTACCAATATGCACCATGTTTTCGGGGGCGCTTTTTATGAAAATACTGTCGAATTTGAGATTGCGCCACCCCCTCCCCACCCCCCATCAACTTTTTGTAACTTTTCGGATTTAATCAATATCAGGGTCGACTATTATGTTTTCGGGGGCGCTTTTTATGAAAATACGGTCGAATTTGAGATTGCCCCCCTCCCACCACCCCCCCTCGACTTTTTTTAACTTTTCAGATATAATCGATATCAGGGTCGACTATTATGTTTTCGGGGGCGCTTTTTATGAAAATACTGTCGAATTTGATATTGCACCACCCCCTCCCCACCCCCCATCGACTTTTTGTAACTTTTCAGATATAATCGATATCAGGGTCGACTTTTATGTTTTCGGGGGCGCTTTTATGAAAATACTGTCGAATTTGATATTGCACCACCCCTCCCCACCCCCCATCGACTTTTTGTAACTTTTCAGATATAATCGATATCAGGGTCGACTTTTATGTTTTCGGGGGCGCTTTTTATGAAAATACTGTCGAATTTGATATTGCACCACCCCCTCCCCACCCCCATCGACTTTTTGTAACTTTTCAGATATAATCGATATCAGGGTCGACTTTTATGTTTTCGGGGGCGCTTTTTATGAAAATACTGTCGAATTTGATATTGCACCACCCCCTCCCCACCCCATCGACTTTTTGTAACTTTTCAGATATAATCGATATCAGGGTCGACTTTTATGTTTTCGGGGGCGCTTTTTATGAAAATACTGTCGAATTTGATATTGCACCACCCCCTCCCCACCCCCCATCGACTTTTTGTAACTTTTCAGATATAATCGATATCAGGGTCGACTTTTATGTTTTCGGGGGCGCTTTTTATGAAAATACTGTCGAATTTGATATTGCACCACCCCCTCCCCACCCCCATCGATTTTTTGTAACTTTTCAGATATAATCGATATAAGGGTCGACTTTTATGTTTTCGGGGGCGCTTTTTATGGAAATACTGTCGAATTTGATATTGCACCACCCACTCCCCACCCCCATCGATTTTTTGTAACTTTTCAGATATAATCGATATCAGGGTCGACTATTATGTTTTCGGGGTAGCTTATTACGAAAATTTGGTCGAATTTGAGATTGCGCCTCTCCCTCCCCCCCCAATCGACTTTTAGTGACTTTTCCGATGTAATCGATATCAGGGTGGTCTTTTATGTTTTTGGGATATCTTTTTCAAATTCTACCGTATTTTCTTAATTAGCTACCCCGAAAACATATTAGTTGATCCTGGTATCGATTGAATCTGAAAAGATACAAAAAGCTGATGCGGGAGGGTGGAAGGGCGCAATCTCAGATCTGACATTATTTTTATAATTAGCGCCCCGAAAACATAACAGTCGACCCTGATATCGATTATATCTGAAAAGTTACAAAAGTCGATGGGGGTGGGGAGGGGGTGGCGCAATATCAAATTCGACAGTATTTTCATAAAAAGCGCCCCCGAAAACATAATAGTCGACCCTGATATCGATTATATCTGAAAAGTTACAAAAAGTCGATGGGGGGTGGGGAGGGGGTGGTGCAATATCGAATTCGACATTATTTTTATAAATAGCGCCCCGAAAACATAATAGTCGACCCTGATATCGATTATATCTGAAAAGTTACAAAAAGTCGATGGGGGGTGGGAGGGGGTGGCGCAATCTCAAATTCGACAGTATTTTCATAAAAAGCGCCCCCGAAAACATAAAAGTCGACCCTGATATCGATTATATCTGAAAAGTTACAAAAAGTCGATGGGGGGTGGGGAGGGGGTGGTGCAATATCAAATTCGACATTATTTTTATAATTAGCGCCCCCGAAGACATAATATTCGACCCTGATATCGATTATATCAGAAAAGTTACAAAAAGTCGATGTGGAGGGTGGAGGGGGGGCGCAATCTCAAATTCGACAGTATTTTCATAAAAAGCGCCCCCGAAAACATAAAAGTCGACCCTGATATCGATTATATCTGAAAAGTTACAAAAAGTCGATGGGGGTGGGGAGGGGGTGGTCGCAATCTCAAATTCGACAGTATTTTTATAAATAGCGCCCCCGAAAACATAAAAGTCGACCCTGATATCGATTATATCTGAAAAGTTACAAAAAGTCGATGGGGGGTGGGGAGGGGGTGGCGCAATATCAAATTCGACAGTATTTTCATAAAAAGCGCCCCCGAAAACATAAAAGTCGACCCTGATATCGATTATATCTGAAAAGTTACAAAAAGTCGATGGGGGTGGGGAGGGGGTGGTGCAATATCAAATTCGACATTATTTTTATAATTAGCGCCCCCGAAGACATAATATTCGACCCTGATATCGATTATTTCAGAAAAGTTACAAAAAGTCGATGTGGAGGGTGGGGAGGGGGGGCGCAATCTCAAATTCGACATTATTTTTATAACTAGCGCCCCCGTAAACATAATAGTCGACCCTGATATGGATTATATCTGAAAAGTTACAAAAAGTCGATGGGGGGTGGGGAGGGGGTGGCGCAATATCAAATTCGACAGTATTTTCATAATAAGCTATCCCGAAAACATAACAGCCGACCCGGATATTGAATATATCTAAAAGTCGATCGGAATGATTATTTCAGATTTCACATTATTCCTGAAATAATCATTTCAGATATCGTTATTCCTGAAATAATTTATTCCCGAAATAATCATTTCGGAAATAATGGTCAGGTTATTTCATGAAATAAATTATTTCGGAAATAACTATCGAGGTTTATTTAGGGATTTATTCCGGAAATATTTTTCAAATAAATTCTGCCCAGGTCTAGTATTGATCAATAAAAATGTAGAAAAAATACTCTAAATTATTTCAGTTTTTATTTTGGCTTGATATCTATGAAATAACCAGACTTATTTTCTCAAAACATGTTTTCAGTTGATAAGAAAACTAAAAATGGTCACCGACAAAAAACTGAGAGCCTCAAAATTTTTTTAACTATGGCTTTGAACTCTGAAATAAATATAGAATAACTGTTAAAAAAATTATAAAAATCACAAAAATGTCGAGCAAAATAGTCTGGGTGATTTCAAATGGATTTACCATTTAAGATATTTTTAATTCAATTTTTTTTTTTAACTGAAACACTGGTATGATATCATAAAATATGTTGCTTTTACATCCAATAGATTTTGCTGTTTAAAAAGATAAAAATCATGTTTTTACCAGACATTTTATAATAAGAGGTATATAAAAACACATGCATATTGTAGAGCAGCATTATGCCAAAATTTCAAAGCCATCGTGAATAAGTTTCCGAGATTTAAGAATGTGAATAAACAAATATTTACAATTTATTTGACATCATCAAAATATTGTGAAAGTAAACATATTAGAAAATGTGTTTCCTATTTTGTTTCTTCTTCATTTAACCAGACTGAGACACACAACATGTGACAGGTAAAGTATAATAATAAAACATAATGTTTTAGTATATATCTTCAGATAAATTTTTAATATCACTTACAAGAAATATATACCTGAGTTGTTGTGAGATGACCAGTTGTTCTGAACCAATCTGCCATAAATCCACTGGTTTGCACAATGATTCCCATAGCAAGATATGGTAAAGCTGCTAAGAGACCAGCACTATGGAAGTCAAACTCGAACACATCTTAAATTGAAGAACTTACCATCAAATTTTTTCTAATACATAATAAACAATTAAAATATAATAGACAATTACCATTCATATAAGATGGAAGCTCAGTCAATAGAGTGTAAAAACCCCAATTTTCAGAAAAATGTGCTATAACTATCGCCCAAACCGAAAATGATTTCAAAATATCCTTCCAAGGTACATTTAGTCTCTAAAATAAAATGTGTTAGTATACTATATATATATTTGTTTGTACATAATGATTACATTTTATGTTTTATACGAACAACTTTGACTGCTGTTCCTAAAGAATCTTCAATATATTCTTTTTCAGCTTCTGATATGTACTTATCTCCATTAGGAGTTTCACTGATGACAATTAACCATACTGCTGTCCATATAGAACCAATTATACCTGCGTAATTAAAAGATTTTTATTTTCAATCACATTCACCCAACTCATAATAAAAATCAAAGCATTAATTATAAGAAATACCAAAAACATAAAATATTGATGGCCATCCTAGCCTTTCAGCAAGTGCTCCGCACAGAGGTAATGCAGCAACTGTTCCGAAATAGCAGCCAGAATAAGATATTGCAACTAAGCGACTTCTCTCTTCAGGTGGAGACCACTTTGACCAGACACCATACATAGCAGGAAATGTGACTCCCTGCCAGGAAAATGGATTTAATTAAAATATATTGTAATTCTTGAAAAATACTGAATAAGCAAGCCTATATTCAATATTTATCCTTAATTTAGAGAATGAATAAATTCTATTTGTTTTAGTGATATTCCCCATACCAAGTAGTTGGCTACAATAATAATAAATAAATAAGAAACATGCTTTATTTGGTAGAGTAAATTTGGTAATTTTAAAACAATAATCTGAAAAAATAGAATGAAATGAATTTTGTATAAAGTTATCTATATAGTTAAACACTGGAAACATGATATTGAAATTGCTCAATAAAAAGCAACAGTATAAGGAACTTACCTCAAAAAGGCCTTCTATAACCCGGCCAATCACAAGCAAATAAACACTAGTTCTGGCCAAGAAAGGTGTCAAGACTGTGAACAAAGCTGTCACTCCTACGCCTAAGCCAAACAGATTCTTTCCACCATATTTGCAAGCTAACCATCCTCCAATCACTTGAGTTAATATGTATCCATAAAAGAAAGAACTCAAAATCACACCTTCCACACCATTCCCCCAATCAAACTCAGGTGGCTAAAAACCGTCGATAAATATTTTCATTAAAGGATGCATCAATAAATAAGGATAGGATACATAAAAACATCTCTAAACAAAAGAAAAAACAAAAATATTTGCTAAAAAGAATATTGAATAATGAGGAGTTTTTAATATCTTTCACAACATGGTTTATGAGAAGTTTCTTAATAATTTAACAATAAACTTGTAAAAAAATATTTATAGGGTGTGGAGTAAAACATTACGTTGCCCAGAAACCAGATGATAAACCGAAGTTTACATGATATAAAATAATTAAGAGTTTGTGTCCCTGTCATTAAAAGCTTGGGGGCTTTTAACTCTTAGCATTAATCCCTCGCCCTCTCTGCTGGCCCAGGGGATGAATTACTAGCTGTTGCCAATGACTTTGTACAGTCTACAATTTAATTATATACTATCTTACATTTTACATTTATTGCTGTCTGGGCACTAAATTTTACACTTTTATAATAGTTTTGATAAAGAACAACAACAATAAGTAAATAATTTATTTATTAATTATAGTGATTAATAATTTACAATTTTGTTATCATTTGAAATTCCCATTCTTACCAAATGCTTTGTGCTTTATAGTAATACTATATACTTGTTGACAAAACAATGTAACCTTTAAAACACTTAGAACTGTTCACAAAGAATTCTTAATAAAGAATTCACTTTGAACAAATCCTGAATATGAACTAACAACAAATCGAACACATAAGTCATGTCTAAGAAACCTTTTCCCCTTTAAAGTTCCAGAACACCTAGTTTGACCTAGACAACTAGACCCTCTGAGATATTTTGATGTCTTCTTCGACTGTTTTGGAAACTTCTTGATTCAGTGTTATCTACATTTTTTTAATACTCACTATTTTTATGCCTTTTGAAATACAAAACCATGGTATTATTAAAAGTAATGTGAGGGTCATTGCACGCCAGTTTGTCCACATTATAACATCTACTATCTCAGATTTTGATGAAATCAGGCAACATTGGTTATTCGATTCCTTGAAATAATTAACAATAATAAATTCTTTTGTTCCACCTCTAATGGTTTAGATTTTACAGCCTAATAACTTTTTTGATTATTGCAATTATGATCACTTAGCTACAGAAAATGAAATTCACCTTCTGATGAAAATAAATCATATCTTATTTAGTTTCCAACAAAACAGCAATTTTTTGAAGTATGTAATAATAGGTGAGGAATAATTTTAAAACAAAAATCCAAAGACATACATAGTATCTTCAGTAAATAACAACAACAAAATTAAACTTACTCGACAAAGCATATCTTTATAATATAATGAAATTATATTTTAGGTCAGGAAGACCTGATCAATGCCTGGACTGTCATGAATAAATTAAGGTTAAACACCTTAAAAATCCAAGGCATTACTGTCATCTTCCTATGACAGATTATTAATTTATCAAAAGTAGTCTGACCACAAACTATGAAATTAAAAAGACAATAACAAAAATGCAAGTAATTAGTTATTTCTAGTTAGAAGAATGATATGAAGCTCAAACCATTCTAAATTGAATTGAAACTAGAGACCTATTGAACTAGAAAGAAAGAGAGAGGTTTCAATCTTCTGAACAAGCTAGTTCGTTGAACTAGAACACTAAATTAGTTCCTTAGGTGTTAGGATTCCTAAGTGAACTGTGAACTAGCTAGTTCAGATGAACTTCAACTGACATCATCAATTGTGGCACGGACGGTACTAGATCAGTGAGATCATCTACTCCAATTTAAATATATTTTAAGTTATAACAATCTGTATAATTGACCTCTGATCGATATTATTTAATAAAATTCATAATTAATTACCTGTTTTTGGTGTATATTTAGAGTTTTAAAAACTAAAAGGAACGAAGCATTTCTGTCTTTATACTTTGAAATAGTAATATGTTTCAAAAACAATCTGTCCATGACTTCTGTTTAAATATTTTAACTTACCTAATATTAAAAATTATTTTCAAGGAAATCAAATTCTTTTTTTAATCCATATTTCAGTGTAAGGACCATAGGCCTTGGCCTTCTCTTTACATTTCCTAAAGAAAACACAAACAATTCCTCTAATTTTATTTTTGTGGTAGTTCATGGGAATTATAGTTCACAAAGAACTATAGTTCAGCAAAAGACCAATCACTGGTGTTCATAGTTCCTTAGAACTAGTTCTTTTACGGACTACCCATCACAAATCCAGAGAACAGAGGAAGGATGAAAGATGAGGGTTGATTTAAAATACTAACAGCTTGAGTTCAATTGGAAAAGAAAGATTGAAACAAAAATAGAGCTGTTGGAGAAGGAAAATGTTTTTTTTATTTAGTGAGGAAGATAATATGGTAGAAGAAATCAAACGTTTTTAGAAAAGTCAGGAGAATCAGTGTAGGTAACTTTTTTCATCTTTAGCAGTATGTGTATAATTTTTAATTTTGACAAGAGTGGATTGTTTGTAAAAGGCTGGATAAAATCTAGTTAGAAGGGAATAAGGAGTTTAAACTCATTGAAGAAAGACTTGCCACTCTCAACCCTTCCTCCTGATTCTGGTAGTATATTTTGGATTTCTACTTTTAAATATGTTGCCTGGCATTTAGTGATACACCTATACAAAATTTTGCTCAGAATTAATGGGTTGAACAATAACTGAATAGTTCAGAAGAGGGAAACATTGCTATTTTAGTCAATCATACACTAGCACACTCCATCCAGTGGACCTTTAAAATCACTATCTTACATTTATATTTAAATATAAGTTTGTTGTGATTATTATGCAAATTAAATTTAATAATTCATTAAAACATATTTTTATTTCCAATATTTTTATTTAAGAATTATTTTCAATCCATACAAAAATGTTTCCTTTTTCTTTAAAGGCAAAAAAAAAAAAATCAATAATATGCTGGGCTGGATTAGTTTAGAAGAACAAAATATGTGTTGTGACAGTATTTAAAAGTTATTTACACAATTAATTATGGTAAATACCTATTGTCAACTATTTAGTTCATTAAAAAATAAAACTATACATGGAGTACTAATTATTTTCTGTAAAAAAAGCATAAAATAACATAATTTCAGAACTAATTAATTTTAAATGAAATGATTAACGAAGTATTGATTAAATTAAGATAACATGCAGTTCAATTTAAAATAAAATGAAATAATCAATGTAAATATTGAATAAAAAGTATTTGCTTCTTTTGGACAAGATAATTAAGTCTCCGATTGCATCTAGTTCTTTAAAACTCAATGACTAAATTTGCTTCACAAGCCGTAACTATTATTTATTTATTTTTTATATATAATCTTTTAATTGATTCTATAATATTCAGTTCACATCAAGCCAAAAATCCACCATCATAAATGTAATGATCATATCTAATTCCATCTTACGAAATAGGTATTAGTAGTCGACAATATCTGTTCCATTCATGGTATTCTCTGCTTGGAGTATGAATATCACCATAGATTTGGGAATTTGTCAATACCTAACATCAGAAAACAATCTTCATTCTATGTTAGTATTAGTTTACCGAAGAAATAACAAATTATCCTCCAAGAAATTATAAATGTTATGTATCACTCAAAAATCTTACCTGATAAGTTTTTGTGCCATTAGGTAAAATTATAGTTCTGTTTTGGGCCATGACAACTATTGCTACACTCAAATTGACTCGCATGGCATAGATATTGGCAAATCCAAAAAATGATAAAAGAGCAACAAGATATCGCCTAGGTAACCATGTTGAATTGTTTCCTCTGAAATATAGGCATAAAATGTGTTATTAATGTAAAGTACATGTAATGAATAAAATCAATGGCTCAATGTTCATTGAATTTACCTCATATAGCCAAAAAGTTCTTCCGAGTTTCTTCTGTGTTCCATTGCGCTGTTACTGATTCAAAACCACTAATCAAAAATCTAGCGTCAACTGTTTAAGATGTAAAATATTCGTCATTTATCAATAAATATTTACTTGGAAAGAAATAAACCAATTGATACAAAAACATATTGAAAGCATAAAATGTTAGGAATAACCCCAAATAGTTTCTATTTTGAAAATTGAAGTTACCCTTGGCAATTAGTTGTAAAGTATATACAAATCCCAATAAATAATTCTACCTATATTTGACATTTCTGAATACTGTATACAACCACCTGCTGTACCAGTTTCAGAGGGTTGACTTTGATTAGATAGTGCGAACTGGCGCATGTGCATTGTACAGCTGACACTAATGGAGGTAAATTCAAACTTTGGAGACTGGTGTTTTCTTTAGCTGTTATCATTTGATTAGAAACCTAAGAGAAGTAATAAATTCAGTTTAATATTTTAGCTCGAATATGTCATGTGCTAAACTAGATGGATCTGGCTATAGCGAAAAATCAATTGAGAAGGATTATTTTTACGATCAGAAGATCCCAAAACCCTTAAAAAAATTTTATAAAGGAAAAATTATTTTGTATCATGGACCATATGAAGCATTTAACTTTATTAGACACAGGGAAGGAAAGCTCAGAACTATTAGAGGTAATGATTATTTAAGTAATTCGAAATATCATACGTAAGAATAATCAAACTTTAAAGTGATATTCCTTTCTATCCTAAATATGGTTTAATTTACATTATCTGTCAAACATTATTATTAATTCCGTTGACTCCCAATGGGCACAGGGTATCCAAAAGTTCTTTCTATTTGTCTCTGGGCATTTATTCTCCTCACCTCATTCCATGAGATGCTAACGCAGCCTACTTCCATTATCTTTGGACCTGCGCCACGTCCCTCTTGGTCTGCTCTTCTTCTCCATTGTAGGGCTGTTTTTTCTATGGCCTCATCTTTTTTCCTCATGGTGTGCCCGACCCATTTCCATTTTTTGTTTTTTGGCTCTTTTCTACTTTAAGCACACCAGTGACGGTATCTTAGCAGTAATATACTATTATGAATAATAATAGCTCATTACAAAGAGGATGAAGTGCTGAAAATTGCGTATAGTATGCAGTTTTGATTTTTAGTTTCTGAGATATTTTAATTCATATCTTCAATAAAACTTGTTATCAGTTGGTTTTCGATACTATTTCTTCCTTTTCGCCTCTCTAACACGGCGTCGCGTAAAGATACTTTCCTATAGACCTCATGTAGATACGTTAATCTGTGAGGAGGTATGCAGCTGTTAAAGCCCACTAAATTGAAAGTGTATTTCAGCCATAGTGTCTGCCGTACTCAACTTAAGCACTTTTCACCTTTTTATTTTATCATTAGTGGGCACAGGATTTAATTGTAGAGATTTAATATTAAAGTTACCTTACCCGGAAAAATGTAACTTTGGGATGCGCAAAGTGCTCACAGAAGTCTGATTCCATTCTGGTTCAGTGCCTTCCCGTTTTTTATTGTATGATATATAATGATTGCGCTTATTAAGTTGAATAGAGCTATTTAACAGTTCACGTTTCTTTAACTCTCTCTACACTAAGATTGATATTTGGTTGTCCAACATCCCAACCGTTCCCTAATCTTACCCAACGTTGGACCAACCATGGGTGTTTATTGGGTTAAGTATTAAATACCTACGATAAAGTACATTGGAAATTCTATAGTTAGCGATTTTTTTTTAAACCAGAAATAGTTAAGATATGCAATTCGCAAATATGAAACTCATCCGTTTTTTTTAAATTTATCAATGATCAAAATTCGTAGATATCGAAACAGCAAATGTTGAGGGACTTCTTTATTTCCAAAATGGCTTCTCTCGATTTTATTGAACGAAAAATTATAGACCTTGAATCAGGGGTGCTCTGTATCTCCATCTCCATATCTTCCATATCTCCGTCTCTATTTTGTATATATTGGTACTTTTGCTCATTCATCTTTTCTGATTATTTTAACTTTTTATTCTCTTATACGTAGTTAGTATTATTTCCTTCTTTAACTTCATTTTTATTTTCTCTGTTTTACACTTTCTTATAAGATTACCATTTTCATTTCTTATGTTACCTTGTTTTGATTATGATTATTTCGTTGGTCCGTGCCTTGTTACCGTTATTATTGTTTATTTCTTAGTTCTCTCTTACTGTTATTATTCCACCTGATATGTTTTACTTTAATGTTCACTCTATCTACTTTATTTTACTTTTAAGTTTTTCTACCTACATTTTTTAGCCTATACCTTTCACGTTTTTAATTGTAATTCTGTATTATTGAATGTTTATAGTTTCTTATACCTATTGTTATCTGGTTCTTTTCTTAGCCCTGGTGAAGGTCTGAACTTCAGTGAATTTGAAAATAAATACAATTATTTATTTTTACTATTTTATTTTGACTGATCACCCCAACCATCCCTCTCTTCAATTGTTCAGTACAGTCAACCATCAACCCACAATTAAAAACAATGTTTGATTCGTCCTTGAACAACTGTATTAACAAATGCCTTTAGGAATAAATTTGTTATTGAAACATGCTTACATTTAGTTGCTGAAAATATTTATTTAATATGGTATATTATTTTTTATAACTGTATATAAAAGATTTTATTAATCATTTGGATAATAAATAATCTGAAGTTGTCAATTATAGCCCAGTAACCTTGTCATGAAAAGGGGGTTCTAAGTTGCATCGAATGGGGGTAGAAGGTTTCTTTTTTTCTTGTATGGGATGTGACTGAGAGGCAAAATCCAAGTTTTCGACCTCGGCGCCCCCAGGATCACTTTTGAGAATCCCAAAAACTACTATAATTTAGCACTTTTTTCGTTTTTTTTCCATTTTGACCACGAAGCAGCACGTTTTTGACAAAAAATATTCTATACATTAAATTGGATTAAATATTCTACAATTTCAGACCAAAACTGCTTTGTTAAATTTAATAAGTTTTGAGATACAGATTTTCAAAGTTTTGGAACTATGTTGAACTTCAACATTGTAAGCTAATTTTCATGTTTGATCATATGCCATTGTATTTATATCTTCAATAACCTGTCTTTTATGATTCAGGGAAGTATATTTGTATTCATTTTAACATTGTGAAGGAGGGGTAAGGGAGAGAGGAAGGTTTATAGGAAGAGGGGTAGTTCACTTTTCACAACCAGAAGACTGAAATTGAACTAAAAAAAATGTAACAAACATTTACATCAATTGCATACAAAAATTATAAATGAAGTTAGTGAAATGAAATGACACGACTTGAAAGAATTGACTTTACTGGTATTTTGTATTGCCAAGTTAATTATTTTTTAAAATTTGTTGATTTTTTATTTTTCTCTGACTATCTAGCATTAATAAAAGACCAATTATGACGAAATAAAGCCAATTTCTGAATCTCAGTGACCGAAAAATCAACTCAAATCAAAGGAATCGACCCTTCATGTTCGGACGCCATTTTAGGATAGTGCGGCCACATTTTTTAAAGGAATATTAGCTTCTTCTTCTTTTTTTTTTTTAATAAACAGTTACAAGGAACACAGTGATATGAATTTTATAGGATATATTGGATGTGAGGAGGAGGTGCACAGTGGGAGGAGGGGTCTGGCCAACGGACTATCCTCACCCACCAAACCTCCTCTTCCTCCCTCCATCACCCCTCTTTCAAAATGTGAAACACGAATAAATGTTTACTTCACTGATCCATATCAGATAGGTTATTTAAGATAAAAGACAATTGCATATGATAAAAAATGAAAAATATTTGGTACTAGTTCACAAGAGTTCCGCACGGATTACGCATGGTTCACAATCACTTCGATCACACTTGTTCATGGAATCCCGAAAATATGATAAGAAAATGATTTTTTGGTATAAATTAATGAAAAAGGTAAGTATTGTATATCAAAAATAAGAATTAAAAAACGAGTAATTAGTTTAAACTAGTAGGGCCGTGTGAAAAATTCACACAGCATATTGTTATAAAATGCCAAATTAATAAGGAAATTAAATAATGCAACGTATCAAAAGATAAAGAAATCACATGTTACTTTATCGATAAATATAATCGACAAAGGAAACACAAATTAATTTAAATCTTCGAGCACTAGTGAATTCTGCAAGGATTCTTCAGGAGAGCCTGGATGGTTGACAAAAATTCCGAAAAAGTTCCAAAAAGCAGCTATTCAAAGAAAAGAGTGATGTAGTTTTTGGACCGCCGTGATGTGCTAAGGCTTGTCCTCCTGTCGCGGTTTGTTCTTATTGACTCCGAACCGAGTCTCGCAGGTGAAATACATGATGAAGGAAAATTAAAAAAAAAAAAAATTATCTTCATTTATTCTTTCGAACTACCTTTTATTCGAGCACAAGAAAATACGGGTTTTCTCTCGGACCCAGTTTTTATTCAGTTACAATATATCTGGAAGCATTGCAACCTCCAGCAACTATAGTCTCCTTGAAGAATTCGTGCTATTCATAAAACTGGTCACGATAATAATTTGTATATTCCTCATTAAAAAGTGTTGTTCTTTTCCTAAAATAGCTGCTGTTGGAAACGTTTTCATGAAGGTACTAATTATTTGGTCTTCGATTTGATCGGAATCAGAAATTATTCTGAGTTTTCGTTGTTAATGAATTTATTTCCAAGCTGCAGAGCCATTTACGAGTATAGTATTCTTTCTCAGATCTTGACAATGTCGGTAAAAATTAGCGTTCATTTACCATGGTTATTGACCATATCAATTAATCAAATTATTAAGTTTAGGTACTCGTTCGACGCACAATTTTAAGTTCTTTAATTTTTTAAAGAATACGTTTTTTGCTTTGATCGAAGGTAGAGGGACATATTTAAAGAAGTGACAGCAGAACTCAATAAAAAAAAAGTTTATATTAACAATGGTTCAATTTTAAGCAGAAAAGTAGGGAATTAAAGTTTTGTGATTTTTGAGGTTTGATATAAGCCACGTTTTTTGTTGGATAGGAAGTGATAACAAAAAAACTATTTAATTTAAGTAATTAACGATTGCTTCACTATAAACGAAACATAATTTACTTTAAATAAAAATAGAGTTTGCCTATGTTAAAACCATTTAAAGAGGACTTTTGAGCAGCTAAACTCAGATAAGGGGTGGGAGAAGATTGTTAGTGGTGGGGAAAGCACCTGGTACAGAGGTGTGCCTCCTCCTCTGTGAAAATTCCTGGATATGCCACTGTATTGCTGACTCCTGTATTTAAAAAAACAAAAACAATGTAAGCTAGTTTTGAAACAAATCATTTTATACAAAGTGCTATCCATAATTTTTCCTGTCTTTCAGATATCAGTTAATCAAAAAGAGATATTTTGTATGATCATGTACACTCATTGAATTAGTTTATTTTGTTAAAAAAATTCATAAAAGCTTTTTCTGCAGACGATTCACTCCATATCTAGGATGGTGCACTGTCTTCCTGGACACTTTTTTTTTTTTTGGAGTAGAGACATAGTGTTTAATTGATTCAGTTATTTGGTATAGATCATAGATGTTAAACCTGTAGCCTCAAGGTTGCATGTTCCTTCTGTGAGCTAACTGTGCTCTCCAAACGATTTTGCATGGTATTTATTAATGTAGTGTTAGAATTAATTATTATTTAATTATTTAGGTTTCAAAAATTTAAAAATAAATAGAATTAAGTTAAATATATGTATATGGATGTGTATTTAGTAATAAATAAAAATAGCAACAGTAAAATATAAAAACAAATTGCGGTCTCCGTTAGCACTGCCTAATCTTCCTGTGCCCTCTAATAATAAAAAAGTTCCCTACCTATGTTATAGATAACAAAGTTGCATTTTTTTTTATATATATATCTTAATAGATGAAAATAAGGTAGGATGCTGCAGTTATTCATCAGGATTTCCTAAATTTATTTCAGGACTTCTTGAAAATGTTGGATATTTTGTTGAATACGTTGCTTGGGAGCACTTTAACAGAATGGGAGTACTTGTTAATGATAAGTTGATTTTCACCTGCAGAATGACAGACTTGGATTACGATGGGTTTGGAAAGAACCTAAGTGCGAATCGTGCATTTCGTAGAATAATTCAGGTTTTGAAAAGAATTGAGGCATATTTCCTTATAAAGTACTTCGGAAATCCAGCTCCGTATGAGTATTTCAGTATTTCATTTGGTCATTAATATATTTTGTTTAAATAAAAATCATTATTTTTTTCATTATTACTTTTTTTTTTATGATTATTCTACAATTATGTTGCATGTCTACTTTTCAATAACTATTTTCCAATTAATATATACATATCAGAAGTTTCTAGAGTTTTTTGAAAGTAAATTGAACATAATCTAAATTTAAATAGTTCTTCAATTTCACTTAAAGAGTTTACTAAACTAGTAAACTGACAAAGTACACTTTTACAAGGAATATTAGGATCTTCTAGATTTTGAACCCTGGTACCCATACAAATTAAGCCTGATCACTTTAAATTTGTTTATAGTTTATGAATTTAACTCAGATTTTATACATCTGAGAATAAGAAAGACAGTTAAATTTTGTTTATTAAATTTAAGAGCTTCAAACTCATTTTTACATGGACCTCAATAAGATTACTTGTAAAAAAGATAATATGAAATTAGTTCTAAAAATTATAAAATTTACATCTAGTATATTTAAAAAATAAGAATATATACAGAAAATAAAAAATAAAAGTTAGTTATATAAGTTAGTTTAGTGTTCAAAGTTAAAACAAAACATAAAATAAATAATTTTTTAAAAAATATTTAATAAATACAGTAATGTCATAGAAAATGTATTAGTAGATCGTAAATTTATATTAATTAAAGTGATATTATGTTCCAAGTAAATTTTAGATAATTTAAAATTAAAATATTAATAAAAAATAATAATAAATAGTAATTTAGTAGCAAAATTATAAATATATAATTATACAGGAATATAAAACATTTTTAGTAATAATATTTAAATATTTTCACTTAATAAGACAACAAATAATACAGGGCTCCTATAAACATTAACTACAATTTAAAATAAAGGTTATTTGAAATACATTATCATAATTGTTTTATTTTTACATTAAATGTTCTTCTGATCTACCTTTGGTACAATTAAATATGCAAATTCATTGCAAAGTATTTTATAATCAGAAGCTCTGGCGAATAACTGGTCCAACATTTTATCTTTTCAGTTCCAATGTCTCTTAAACTTTCTTGTTTTTTTTTCCTGGGATTACAGATGTATTTATCTTCTCTGACCAGGAATAGAAAAAAACATAACAAATAAATTGAATTTTTTGACCCTATTATTCAAAATACCACTGTTGTTCTTAAGAACTATACCTTCTCACCATTTATCCAATTTATTTACATGTTACCTATTAGTAGCTAATTTAACTGAGCAGTTAGCAGTGTTTAGTATATTAAAACTTTTTTGTTAATGATTATTTCTTATAACTTTCTAAATTAAAAGTCTTTAAATCAGGTGCACTATTCTAGTACTTATTTTCTTTTCACATTATAAAATAATAAATTGATGAAACATTTTTTCAAAATAATTTTGCAAGCTTTTATTAAGTAAGATGCCTTTTGGAAAGACCATAAATATATATTGACTGGTAGGCTTTCTCTTTGATTCGTATTCAAGTTTGTCCATAAATATCCATTGTTAATATTCAAATGACCCAAATAATAAAGATTTTAAAATAGTAAACATTAATAAGAATTCTTAATGATGCTGTAAAAATCTTCTTCAGTCACTTTTCTATCACGCATGGCTGAGTGACCACATTTCGCTTAAATATATCATTCACTGTTTATGACTCTTTGAATCCATCTTACATAATTTGGTAGTTTTGTATAAATTCCATATTTTCCTCTTTTACCACAACCTTCTCCAAAACTTGTAATACCAAAAACTGTCCATTTTCCAAGGTCATCTTGGCATAACAAAGGTCCGCCTGAATCACCAGAGCATGAATCTAATCTTCCTTTTCTATATCCAGCACAGAACATGTTATATGTTATCTGATAGTCTGTATAAACTTCTCGACAGGTTTGCTTTGGCACAATAGGAACCTGAAAAGTATTGTAATGTATTACTTTCTGTAACAAAATGATTTTCTTACTTTCACTTATAGATATATAAAATATATAGTAAGGGGAAATATTGTGATCGTGAAAACTTTTGAATCCAAGATTACAACTGAAATAAACCTTTTGAGGTCCCCTGAGACCAAATAATCAAGTTTCACAAAATGGTCTGTGTGTGTTTGTGTATGTGAATAGTATAGCTCAAAAACGAAAAGTCTCACGAAACTGAAATTGTGTATTTAAGGTTTGTATATGCTTCAGATGTTACAGCAACTTTTTCCTCATAATTGGCAAACCGGAAGTGGCACTTTACAACACAATGGAACACATGTTTACGATTTTCTTGAAAACAGCTCTAATAATTTTGGTTAGACTCAATGTATCAATGTATAATTAATTAATCTTTAATTCCATTTAGGTCTTATCCTTATTGATGTCACTTAACTTGGCTTAAATGCCACGTATTCAAATTGTCTTCCTCTAAAGTACCTTTAATTTGGTTTATTTTAAATAATTAAGTACCTTTCACTGTTAAGAGTTATGAAAGAAAGGTAAATTTTATAATTGTATAAAGGAAAAAAATAAAAGAAAAGTGCTTATCCAGGTCGAAAATTAATCTCCAGATATAATAATCAGAAGGTATACATATAATATATTGTTGAAAAGCGGAGAATTTTAGAAAAAATAATATCTAATAAATAAAGTTGTAGAAGGTAACAAAGAGTGATGAAAAAATATAAATAATAATTTCTGAATACTAACATTATTTAACGTAAATCACATGTTTCCAACAAATTAAAGGAAATTTTCTTACTTAATGTAAACTTTTAAAAATTTTTGTTTGAAAATGTTTAAGTTTGAAACAAGTATTTCAAATACACCGCATCAAGGCAATGACATTGTTTATAATGCTATTTCGTTGTATTTGTGTGAAAGAAGAAGCGAAATATAAAAATATTTAATTGATATGTTTATAAGCTTAAACACATTTACTTAATACATTTATGTAGTAAATGTATATGTATTTAATATATAAATACATTTAATAACTATTGATCTGATATTATATTTGAATAATTAGCTATCTATCATCAGTTTATTTCTGAAGATCATCATGTAATTTTTTAGAAAATTAAATTAGTGAACAATTTTATGAACTTTCCCTTTATGATATCCCAACAGTATCTGCTTATAATTAGTGTGACAAATTTTGACCTATCTATGACAGGCAATGCAAATCTTGTAATTCCATTTTAGTTAACTTTTCAATGAAAAATAACTGTTTAATAACTAATAGTCATAATAATAATAATAATAATAAGGCTTAGCGAACCCGAAGGTCCGATGCCGACACCACCAATCCCTTGCTACACACCTCCCTCCACCGTTCGCCGTCGAAACCCAGTCCCTTCAGATTGGCTTTAATGCAATCTTCCCACCTTCGCTTCGGTCTACCCCTCGGACGCTTACCATTCGGCACAGCAAATATTAACCTTTTAGGAATTCTCTCTTTACTCAGCCCAACAACTTTACAAGCCCATTTGATTCGCCGCGATGAAATTACCTCAATTATATTACCCGGATACAGCTCACGCAATTCGGCGTTGTGTAACCGTCTGAACTCTCCGGTTAAAGGTACTATTTCGCTGGAGCGGTCCACGACCGCGACTGCTCGCGGTTGTCCACTGCTTTAGTGGAATAGAAAGGAACCTATTTCGCTGGCGCTGCTCGGCAGTTTAGGTATGACGTCATATCTAAGCTGCTCGTATCTGACTCCTCTTGAAGCAGTGGAGCTGTTGGCGGTTCGGCGGTTGTAGGTTATGTTATCATATCAGAGCATTGTTTTGATGATAACAGTCCCGTCGATACGTTTTATTTCCTATGTTTCTTTCAAGTCTGGCAAAATTATAACAAATATTGTTTAAAACTGAAATAATGCAATAGTAAATTATTTTTTTGAGGTTGAAGTAACAAGATTATTTATTTATTTATTCCACCAGCAATATTTTAAAGCGAAATACAAATATACCTAAATCCAAACGATATTAAATAAATTAAAGAATCCAACAAATTTTATCGTCAGGTAAATACTAAAATCCACCCATTGAAAAAACGATTTGTATTTTTTAATTAAAGTGGTGATTTACTGATTACTATTGATAAAACTATAAAACATCTCTTGCTGAGATTTAATTACAAATATATGATATTTATTACTAACCAATTATGTATTAATTACTATTACTTTTCAAACTAATAATATGTAATATCAGAGGAACTTTGATGATGAGCATCACATCGAAATACTGATATTCCTTCTCTTTATGAACAACATTTTCTCTTCTTTTTCCAACTCAAATAAAAAAGCGGTAGTTAGAGATGTTCATTATTATAGGAAGTTCATTTTTATTCTTATATTATGTCTATCTTTTTATCTTCAAAGATACAGCGAAATGTTCGAAGGTTATAGGCAGGTTATAACAACCCCAGTGAGCAGTTTCAGCGAAATAGATACGCCAACAGCGGTTGGCGAGGGGGAATAGCAGTCGCTGTCGTCGACCGCGCCAGCCAAATAGTACCTTAACTCATCCTTCTTCGGTCCGAATATTCTACGCAATACTTTATTTTCAAAAACCTTAAGACGCTGCTCATCCCTTAATGTAAGCGGCCAAGTTTCGCATCCATAAAGAACAGTAGGCAAGATAATAGTTTTATAGATTCTAATTTTTAAGTTTCGGGACAAGAGGTCAACTAAGTAGTTTTGTCACAGAAAAATAACAAGCATTCCCCGCCTTCAGTCTAACCTTAATCTCTTCTTCAATTTCGTTTTTTCTAGTTATCGTAGAACCTAGATACCTAAATTTATCTACCTGTTCAAACATATTACCATCTATATCGATATCACCAGTAGTATCGCCATTTTTGCAGCTAGCCATATATTTTGTTTTATCCACGTTTATTTCGAGTCCTAGTTCTTTACCGGCTTTCATTAACGTTGTCGTATTTAGTTTTATAGTTTCAACGTCTTCGCTTAACAGTACCAGATCATCAGCATAGCCCAGCACGGATGTTGTCCCGCCCAGATCCAACCCTTTCTCGGTTCGCATTACCTCCCTAATGGCACGTTCTAATGCCAAATTGAACAGGACAGGCGAAAGAGAATCCCCCTGTTTTAAGCCCGAACGAACCTCAAATTTTTCGGACAAATTATTACCGATTCTAACTTTATTGAGTGTCTCCGTCAAGCACATCCTAACTAGATTTACTAGTTTTTTTGGAATCCCCTGCTCGATTAGAATATTATACAGTTTCTGGCGGTCAATAGAATCGTAAGCCTTTTTAAAATCTATATACAGCTGGTGAACAATACCGTTATACTCCAATTTTTTCTCTAATATTTGCCGTAAAGAAAATATTTGATAAATTGTCGAACGATTCCGTCTAAATCCGCATTGGTAGTCTCCGATAATTTCCTCGGCGTATTCCGTGATTCGACTGGTTAAGATTAAAGTGAATATTTTATAACATACCGGAAGGAGTGAAATTCCTCGATAGTTATTACAATCTGTCCTCGGACCCTTTTTGTGAATCGGAATAAGAATAGATTCTTTCCATTCTTCAGGTAATTTCTCGTTCACCCAGATCTTTTTAACCAACCGATGTATTTTAGAAACTCCAGCTTCCCCGCATGCCTTAATTAGTTCAGTAGGAATATTATCGATTCCCACTGCTTTATATGATTTTAATTTTCCGATAGCTACTTCAACTTCCTCTTTACTTGGTCCTTCTATTAACGGTTCAGCACTCTGGTACTCAGAAGGAGGACACAGATCATAATTTCCCGTATTTAAAATATTGTCAAAGTGGTCCTTAAACTTATTCAATATGTCAACCGGATCGGTCAGAATATTGTTATTATCATCCCTAATTCCAGACGTTACGGGCCCTACATATTTACGTGATCTGTTTATACCTTTGTACATGTCTCTTACTTTATTTTCGATTCTATTAGTTTCTATTTCAATTATTTTATTTTTAAGATACTCCCTTTTTTTATTTTTGAGCAATTTTGTCGTTTCGTTCTTTGAGATTCGGAAGTATTCCAGATTGTCTTCGCTAGGATTATTTAGAGCTTTTAATTTAGCGGCTTTTTTTTTTTCACACATGTTTAAGCAATCTTCATCAAACCACGGTTTGTTATTCTTATTTTCCTTTTTTCCTAGACACGAGTTACCGACCGCTTTAATATTATCCCTGATCTCTATCCATAACTTGTCAATATCCTCCATAACTAATAGTCATACAATACATAATAAAAGGATCGTACAATCCATAATCAACCATTGATTGAATAAATAGAATTTTTGTTATTTTAGCGGTATTAATATTTGTTAGCTGTAAGCTTTAAGCTTTAGCTCCGTTAAAAATGCACTTCAAACATTTTATAATAGCCCTACATTTCCAGAAAATAATTTCTATTCAAAGTAGAGAGATAAGTGAAAGTTGTGTGTTGCACATACCAATTTTTTTTTCTATTCACAAGGATCATTATAGCCTTGCGTCATTGGTTATGTTTTGAATTTTGGAATATATCTTTGTCTACCTTAGGAAATCAAAAAGTTTATCTTTCATCTGTATATTGTAAGTTTTATTTTTAATAAAAGCATCTAAACTCGTGGTAGCGCTATAAAATTAAATAGTCTTAAATATCAGTCAGGTTTTAGATTTATTGGAACAAATAGTGCCTTAATGCCGAATTTTCAAAATTTCCTTCTCTAAAGTACTTCTAACTTTTTATGTTAGAAAAAATTAAGGATTATTAAATCCAAATCCTGAACTTTGCTTTCCAAAGCCTTAGAGTTACTCTGGAGAGCAAGAACTATAAACACACCAAACTTTCAAAAATCAGCCAAGAGAATATCCGATGTATAAAATATTATTAAGGAATCAATTCCAATCTGTTGATTAAGTATTATCATTACGGCATTATAATGTTTCCTCTAAATCAGGGCTTGAAAGGGAAAACAACTTTTATTTTTAAAAATTTTCAGTATCACTTAAATTTTTACTGCTGATAGTTTTTCAGTTCTTTTAGAACTAGAATTTTTTCCCAATCAAATTTTTTTATATTCCGATCAAGCGATTCAATTCTCAAAAAAATAAATCTAAAAAAATGGTAATAAATTATGACATTTATCTAATAAAGGAAATGTTTTTTCTTATTTATATGATTCTTTAAATACAATTGTTTTTCCTTCAGTATTTAACGAAATTGTTTTAAGAACTCAAATATATAAAAGTTATATGTTTATGATGAATCTTGGACTTTACTGCAAAAAAAAAAAAATTCAGAATCATTTATTTCAAAAGAGTTCCTTTGAAACTTTTAAATTGGAATTTTTTTAAAAAGTTTGATGAAATTTTCACCCCTGCTTTAAATTATATAATTTCAATTCTCCGAGAAATCATATGATTGTAAGTAAAAACTGAATATTACTTAAAACAAAATAAAAATTAACAAATGACATATGAAATCATATAATTTTTTTCTGATAAATTATTAAAATTTTACCTGTGCCTCATGTAAAATATCAGTTCCAAATTGATCAGATGCTCTCCTTTTACCCCAACCTACAATAGTGCACATCTTTTTAAATGGTAAGTGATCTCGAGGTTTTGGTAGACAGGCAACTCCTGGATGAGTGTCTTGAGGCACTGGAATGGGTAGATAAAGAAGAGCTACGTCATTGTCAACTGTTTCAACATTGTATTTTGGATGTACATAATACTTTTTTACCTAAAAAAAATAATAACTAATTAAAATCATTTAAACAGATAGTGGTATGTTTTGTAAGTAGTAAAGAAAGTTTCATTACCCTCAGACGAAGTTCCTTTTCATCTTTGTGATTTAAATTGTATTCTCCAATTGACACATATAATCTTCTACGCACGCAGTGTGCCGCTGTCAAAACCCATCTAGGTGATACTAAAGTACCACCACAAAATGCCTCCTGAAATAAACTATTGAAAATAAATTTAAATAGCCTTATTATATTATTTTTGTCAACAATTAAATTATATAAAAATAATTTATATCACAGTCAGATGTCTTTAACCGATCCAAACAACATAAGTTTACAATATATGAAATTACTAAAATCAGGAATTCCTAAAAGATGGTTGAATGGCACAGATTATCCCATCAAAAGTATTGAGGGAACCACATTTGCAAAGGGGTTTTGAACTTTATATGTAACTGTATTTTTGTGGAGTTTCATTTTGGAGAAACTTTGATGGCCAAATTGTGGCACACATTATAAAAAAGGATGTCATTTCAGATTGTTACAAAAATCTGATGAATTTTATAGTTGTGTCTAAAACTATTTCAATATAAAAATAATTTTGAGTGCTAAGCAGATGGTATTTTAAAGCTTGTTTCTGGAGATTTTTATAGTCTTATATCAGAGAAAAAATAAGATTTATAATATATGTCTGTTTTATATTGTACCATCTATAGTGGTGGTCATACTTATACCAAAAGCCAAAGAGATATGGATCTATATTCCCTCCTGAAAAGCTATATTCAGGACAAGTAAGTGAAGATAGAATTTGCAATGAGATGTAAGCTTCAGAAGAATCTGTACTAGATCCAACTCTTTAAGACCTGCTTTTCAGTTTGCTGCTAGAAGTTTCATAAGAAAAACTGTTTTTTTTTTTTTAATTTTGTGGAATATGTTGTCAACAGCAAAGGGTCACAATAGTAAAACAAGGCTCCATACTATTAAATGTTACCATTGTATGCAATTTCATACAGTGCTGACTATATTACATTTATTACTCTTTCATATCATAGTAAATTAACTATATAAGATTTTTTTAATATAAGTAATTTCGTAGTTGTTGACATTGTCTCTCTTAAATAAAGTAAATTACAGTATTGATTGATATAATCATAAAAATTTACTAATATATATATATATATAACTTATATAAAAATTTATATTTATTAAACAATCAACCTATTTTCACCTTGAAGCGGTTTAGAACTGCAACAATCCAAGGCCATTTTCCATTTTGTGTAGGCCTACCTCCAATTATCCTCAGCATATTTATTTGGTTAAGATCACTGTAGCTGTTGTTTGGTACCACACCACATGCTGGCCATTTGTCAGAAGCTGGGGTATGGACAGCAGTAGTTACTTGTTGATCAATAGTGTTGGATGACTGTAAGGGTGCAGTTGGGGTCTCTGGCTTGCTTTCTGGTATTACCGGTGAAACATGGACTGGAATAGTTGGCAACTTTGGTTTATTATCTGGAGAAGCTAAAAAAAAATATATATATATAAATTAAATAATACGGTATTAAAAATTAATTATATTGTACATTGATATATCATCAATAAACAAATTTTAAACTTAATAGTTATGTCAAAGAGGACAAACAAATGAATTAAGCTGTCTTGAAGAAGGAGAAACAAACATTGATGTTGATAACTACCCTCGATCAAAGGGGCCTAAGAAAAATCAAGAAAATAAGAGAACAATTCAAAGGTATCGTTTGGATTGTGTGATGAAGGTGGAGAATCCTCATTTCAACTGAATAATACAAGGCTAAATGCTCTTGGAATTGTGAGCATAGAGCAGGGAATAGGCTCAAGCTCTGGACTTAAATAAAAGTATACTACGACCTGTCTCATTAATTAACATTGTAATAAGATCTATTTTAACTAATATTTAAACATATGAGTGTTTGTAAGAGTATCATATATTTTGATTTTAATCTTTTTCAAAACCATTTTCATGACACTATTTTTTATTCTGTATCAGGCCATGCTCAGATGCTGTCAGAAAGAACCCAAAATCACATTATAGTTTATTTAAAAAATCTTTCTTGACCTAAAAATCCTATACAAGAATGTTGATGGCCATTTCTAATGGACTATAGAGAATGTTAATCTCTATAAATTTTCAAGTCCATTTATTAAGAAGACCATAAATAAATTTTTACTGCCTACTTTTACATTTTAGTGCCTATGTGATTGCTAAGCCATTAATTAATTCTCAAGAATGGCATAAAATGCTAAGGATTGAGAAGGGGTCTGCACATAAAACATTCATATTATGAACTACATGAGCTTAAGAACCCCTGACTTATACCATGACATTAATATTTCTGATTATATTCTCACCAGAATTACACTATTACTTATACTTACTTCCTAATTTTTAAATTTGATAAAAAATAGAATAAAAGGAAGGAGTGAGCTAGTTACTTATAGCACTGACTCTTATTTTGATTTAGATCACTTTTTTATTTACTCACTCTGATAACTGGTAGTCTCTAAAGCAAATTTACTCTGGAGCCAAGCTTCACAATGGTTCCCTTCAGTGTAACAGTAAGCTGTTTGTCGTATTACATCATTTCCACATACTTCAACCTTTTTACACCACCTGTAAAATTTGTAACTTAATATTATAAGTTATTTCAAGGGCCAAATTTATGTAATAGTTACATTAATTACACATTTGAAACTATAGATTCAAATAAAAATTGAAATTTATATAAATAAATTTGCAATGGGAATACAATTATTAGTCTAATATATTAATGCACAGTTGGAAATTTAATTTATTTATATACCGTTTTCATTGATTTATTTTTTTTTTCTTTTCATATTTATTTCTAGTAAATATTTATTTCTAGATTCCATGCTGGTGTATGGATTTAATACTACGATATTTTCTAATAATTAATAATCAATATTTAAATATGAGCTTTTTCTATACTTTTTTTCTTTTTTTTCTTGTCAACAATAATTAATCCATTAGCTTTTTAAAATTTCCATTGAATTATTTTTCAAGTATTTAATTTATGCATAAATTAAATATAAATTAAAAAAAAAATTAATTTAAAAACATGGAACATCTTTTCAGAAAACCATTTTTTACCTGTATCGTTGAGTCAGACAAGAATCACTGCACATTGTCCATCGGCTCCACTTGCTGTATATTCTTTTAGATTTTTCAACACCACTTCTGCTTGTACTTAACAAACCTAGATGTTCTGTAGTCACCAGAGATGGGACTGCTATCTAAAAAAACATAACATAAAAACTTGATTTTCGCTAATGAAGTAGAGACAACTATAATGTATTAATCATAATATAATAAATATGTTTTAAAGCTTCAGTATTTTTTATAGGAAAATTTAAATGACAGCGCAAGAGCATTAAAAAAAAAACACTTTTAATTTTTGAAAATAGTGAAATAGTTTAACAGAGTTTAAGATAACTGTGTTGTCAATAAATTTACAGGATATGGTAAAAAATAAAATAAATATTTTTTATGCACACAATCTAGATATGTTTCTTTCAATTAATTTTTTTTTTAAATTTAGTAATTTATTAATAATTTAAAACAGTGAATTTAATTAGTATTTGTTGTGATGTGGGGTATCTAAATATTAGGCAAAACCATTTAGAATAAGGTGATAAGACAAGAAATTTTATTATTTCTAATAATACGTAGGTTATTATTAATTAATGAAATTTAATTCTTTCTCTTTTAAGGTTATGGAATTCAATTAAATTAAATGTAAAATAGATAATTTTGATGGGAAATATGTAAACACTTTATGGATTAAATTCTATATGTTCATTAAAAAAAAATTAAATAGCTTATACCACATGAAACAGTCTGTCTGTTTCTCTAGCTCTTGTTCTTAACTTTTCTCTATATTTTTTCCGTCTTTTCTTCTTTCTTCTTTTACATGGCTTCTCCTCCTAAAATAAATAAATTTTAACTATCTAAAAAAATAACAAATATGAAAAAAGTTAGTTCTATCTATAATATATTGAAAAAGGTACCTTTAGTATAGTTTTCTCACATATATCTGGATGTATGCAAGCCCTTTCTCTTATTTGAATATATGATCCAGATAAGTTCTTTTTGCATTTGGACCAATGACTCCAGGGAGAGAAAAGATATGATAAATTTTGCATCCATTTATGATTGTTGGTACAAAGTTCTGGAAATTAATTAGACATCATTTCTAGGCAAAATCAATTTTTGATATTGCTAACTGTATTTTTGACATCAAACATTATGGTAATAGAAGTATTATTATTTAGGTAATGGCATGTCAAGATCTGGGTTGATTGATCAAAATAATCTAGAGAAGTTTGCATTTTTATTTAGAAACGTTGGCAAAAATAAAAAAAATATATAATGACTGTGTCCTGACTATTTATCACCCATGACAAAATAATTTAGGATTTTTTTTTGATCTGCTGGCTAGTTAAAATAAAGTATAATAAAAAATAAAATAAAATAAAGTTATTTTATTGTAAATTATGAACACATTACAAAAGTTTCTTTTCATGAGCCATTTCTGAAATCAGTAAAAAATTGGCCTACTCTAAAAGCGTGGAATATATAGTATACCCTCAGTCCATCAATTTCATTCCGCCTTAAAGTAAAGATGCCATTAATTTCGATAAGTTATTGATAGTTATTTTATAACAAGAACAAAATTTCTAAATATCAAGAAATTATTTATCACTCTCCCCATATATATATATATATATATATAAAGTAAATATTTATTGCTGATTACCTGGTAGGGTGCAGTTATTTTGCTGAATTGATAGGAGAGTTCCTTTATTACTGACCACCTAAAAAAAAAAAAGGAAATGTTATTGCCTTAGAATAATAGATTAAGAAGAATACAATTTTATTAAAAGCTAAAAAAAATTAATTGAGGAATAGTTGAATGGTTATTCGTTTCAACATTAATGGGGTAGTTATTGATATCCACAACTATTTATATGTTCTTTTATTTATTATATATTTATGAAATCTTCCTAGTAAAATACAATCTGTGATGATTATAGGCTGATTAGTAATTGTTTTTAAAGTCACAGATTTCAACATTCATGAAAGTACTGTTTAATGGTGTATTATTGGGTGCATATATCCCATGACCATGGTTTATGTAAACCTTCCCATTTGTGTTAATAAATACCTTTCAAGCTAGATTTTCATTACTAATTATTTTATATTACTGTGAAAAAAAACTGTTAAGGTTGGTAAAAAGTTGAATTACATAAAATATTCAGTTCACATTACCTATTTGAAGTATCTATTATTAAAAAAAAAAAAAGACAATGAAACCCCCTTCTAACTATTTGATATTTAGGTACATTCAAACTAAGCTGAGGTTATTTCTCATTAGCTGCTCATTTAATGCCAATAATTGATGAAGCAGTAATTAAATTTTAATTGACCCTTAGACTCAACATTTGAACCAAGCTGATTCTAGGTTATATAGCTCCTTGATTGTATTCATTATTATCTACGGTTCGTAAAAAAATAGTTAAGTTAGAAAGTAATTTTTTACAAGGAAATATGTTTCAAAAGTTAGAATAAATTTTCTTTATTTCAGTAGTTTGAACTAAATTTATTAAAAATTTCAAGAGGTAATTTTCTAAAATTACAATGTGTTCATTTAGTGAAGAAAAAGATTAATTTCCCAAGCCTTAATTGTCCACTAACTTGTTGTAATTGTTGAAAGTTCTGTTTTTCTTAGACACTCTTTCTGACCATTTATGGCACAGAAGAGGAGGGGAAAGTAAGAGGACTAGTCTAATCTGAATTGGAAGGTTGAGATGTAAAAAAATGTCTACCCATCCTGAGTCGAATCAACACCAGTAGGCTTTAATCAACATCATTATACTCGAATCAACACAAATAGATTCTAAGTTACAAAGGTGATACCCAGTGTTGACTTTAGGGTGGGACAACAGGGACAATTGCCCGGGGCGCAAGCATCAGGGGCATCAGGGGCGCTCGCCACTTGTTAAGAATTTAAAAAAAAATTTTATTATTTCTTTTTTAAGTTAACAATAGGATCCTCTTCAATGTTTTAAAATAGAGCCTCGATACCTCAGGCCAGGGACGCATCGACAGCCTCAGCACCATCTATTAGCACAGATATGTTGGACCTGTCCTCCTTTTTTAAATAGTAGAGTAGCTTAATATCTGTGCTAGTGGACGGTGTTGAGGATGTCGGTTTGTCCCTACCCCGAGACTCAATTTTAAAACATTGAAGAGGATTCCATTGTTAACTTAAAAATCCCGGATTGAAACGTTGAATAAACAGCAGGATCAATGAACATTTTGTAGTTTATTGAATAATTATTAAGTGACCTAATTCCCATTTTAAATAATTATGTTAAAATATAGCACTCAAAGGTCGGGCTGAAGCCTCTTCCTCCCCTCCTCATCTTGCCAAAATGGTAAAATATATCCATGTATCACCAAAAAAATGATTTCTAAAAAGTATTATAGTTCATTAATTACATTTAATTGGACTTCAAGAATCACTTAAACACCATTGATTATAAGTAGTTAGTTTCTTTCTTTTCCTTCCCAAGTAATTATTGTTTTATAAATACAGAAAAAAAGCTTTCGGGACTGAAGCCCCCCTCCCAAAATGAATTCCTTGATCCGCTAGTGGTGAGTAGTATGGAATTTGTAATGCCGTATGATGGTCTTCCAATTTACTAAAAGGTTTTTGACATATCGTCAGTGAGTGGAGAATTATCTTATTTTCAGTATTCCTAGTACGGTAATTTCTATTTTTAAAAATGTTTCTTGATTTGATGACCTGCTATATCATAGTAGTTTCCGTAAACCAACTGATGCTGGAGTTCAAAAGTTTCACCTGGGAACAGTTCCAAATTTTTTTATTTATTTACTAAACAAACAAAAATGTGGAACATTAGATTAAATTTGCAATCTGCAAATTTCTTTGCAATTAGCAAATTTTTTAGCAGCTTCACAGCTTCCCATCACGTCCGGGTTATAAATCAAATCAGCAGGTCTCTTGGCCTACGCCTACGTAATCGTCGTGGTGGGCTGTACGGGTTTCTTGTACGATGAAGGATTTCTGTCAGAGGATTCATGTTGTACGTCAGTCTTTGGTGAAAGTTATTGTAGTTCTCTTTTGCAGTATCTAAAATTGTAGGTACGTTTAAGTCTTTATGTAGTGTGTCATTTGCGACATAAAAAGGTGCGTCAACTATCCTTCGCAACACTTTTGACTGAAAGGACTGAACTTTTTTAATGTTGGAAGTTTCAGCAGACCCCCACAGTTCTATGCCGTAAGTCCAAATAGGTTTAAGTAAGACTTTATAAAGGGTTATTTTGTTAGTTAAAGATAATTTTGAACGTCTGTCAAGTAATCTGGATAAGAGACCGTATCGTCTGTTTAATTCTATTCGTTTTTGTCTGATGTGAGTCTTCCAAGTAAGTCTTTTGTCCAATTAAAAACCTAAATACCTAATTACATCTGATATTGGGATTTAAATGTTATTAAAATATATTTCAGGGGAAGGTTTATGGTTAAGAGTGAATACCACATGCACACTTTTTTTTTCATTCATCTTAATTTTCCACCTTGTTGTCCAGTCTGCAATATCGTTCAGATGATTTTGAAGGATGGTAAATGCTCGAACAGGGTTTTTATCTGAGCTTAGTACTGTGGTATCGTCTGCAAAAGTAGCCAGTATTGTGTCGTTATGTTCCGGTAGGTCCGACATATATATATTGAACAATATTGGTCCAAGGACACTACCCTGAGGCACTCCTGCTTTAATAGGTTTGATGTCAGAACGTTATGTCCCTACTTTTACTACAAAATGTCTATCCGTTAGATATGAAAGTAATATTAGATAGTAGGTCGGAGGAAGTAAAATTTTAAGTTTGGAGAGCAATCCTTCATGCCAAACTTTATCAAAGGCTTGACTAATGTCAAGAAAAACTCCATTTATGTCATTTATGTCATTATGAGGTTTAAATGTTTCTTCGAGGTGGCGAGCAAACAATTGCGCTTTTTTTTAAATGTGAATTTTTTTAAAAATGAATTTAAAAGGCGTCAACCACAAGAGTCATTATCGCCTTATTAAGTATTAAATTTCATTGTCCAATGTTGCAAGTTTCAGAAAATGAAAGAGTTTGTCAACATTATTCGTATTGTCTTGTAAAATAGTATGTAGATCGTTTGGCAAGCCACAAGATATTTTAATTGGTTCAGAATATCGGCATTCTGTCAGAATATGTTCTATAGTTAGCAAAGTTCCACAAGTTTTACATTTACAAGATTCGCGGGCCATCAGGTACTCATGGGCCAGGCATGCGTGACCTATACACAGGAGCATAATCATCACTTCCTCATTTATTTCTGTTCGACGTTGACCAAGATGAAATGACACTTTTAATTTCTCTTAATTTATTTTCAGTAATATCAAACCATATCTGTTCCAATTTAAACTTAATTTTCATTTTAATGGTTGGAATAAAATCCTCGATAGGTACTCCCGCGGTAAGGAATTCCTTCCATAACTGCTTCTTGGGCCGCTCGATCTGCCAAGGAACCCAAACAAAACACACCGACATATTATTTCCATATGCAGATTTTAAGGAGTACAGTATATTTTGGGTGATAAAGATAGACTAAGTAATGCTGATAGGGAATCTGTGCAGATAACCTGTTCTTTTTTGTGGAATGGATAACATTCAGACTTTTGTAAATTGCAACTATTACGGCTGTAGCTGCTACATATTTACGGAGTCAAGCATTTTCAGAAGTGTATTCGGTATCGATTTATATTCATTACAATGGTAGTCTAATTAACGTTTTGTACAATTTTAACAATTTTTTTCTGATCTGAACTCCAACTGGTGTTACTGACAATTTTTAAAAGGTTAAAGGAATGAAGGCAGTTGGCCTTTAATTGTTTGATATGTTGAATCCAGCTGAGTGTTTTATCAAAGATCATTCCTAGGTACCGGACTGTGGTGGAAAAAGTATCTGGTTGATTGTCTATGGTAAGTGATGGCAGTAAATTTGGCTCTCTTTTGCTGAAATGAATTGCAACTGTCTAGTTGAAATTTTAAAACCTGGATCAGAAATCCAGGCACTGACGTTGACTAAAGCGGTTTGTATGTTTTTACCTATTTTTCCTCTGTATATATTACAAGGTCATCCTTAAATCCGCATAAAGCATCCTTTTAATCGCCAACTTAATTACATTTAAAACCTCGTTAATGTACATACAAAAAAGTGTGGCGCTCAAAACGCAACCCTGTGGTACTCCATTATCTTTTTTGGATTTTTAGGAAAAAACATTAACGATTCTGATCATAAGAAATCTGATAGTTAGAAAATTATTTACAAATGTAATGACATGGCCATTAATCCCAATCTTAAGCAGGATGTCAATTATAAGCCTTTTCCACGTTCTATAGAATACATTTTCTACTTCAAGAAACACAGATTTTCTTTTGTTTTCAAAAGCATTTAAAATATCAGTTTATAAAGGAACCAAGTTGTCCCTACTGCTTCTTCCTCGCCTAAACCCGCTCTGCCATACTGGCTGCACACTTTTAGATTATAAATACCATACCAGTCAATTACTTATTAGTTTTTCGATTAATATACAGATGATAGACTATTGGCGTCGATTCCTATTGGGACGTCGGGGATGCGCCCTCCTCCCCGCAAACCTTTGAAATGGTTCCATTCTTCACCACCAATATTTTGGAAGGTCGTATGTTTATAATCCTGTCCGAGCCTAAGATAACTTTAAATCTTACATATTTGATTTGACAA